ACATTGATCTTCTTAGTAGTTTCATAACCTATGTCCAAAGATACTCCCTCTTATCTATGGACTGTTCTGTACCAAATAAATACAAGTAGTCTGTCTTCCCAAGGCCACAAAAAAGTACTAAAACCTTTAATGATCTAAAATTACTAAAATCACAACAGGAATCATTAAAGACGGAGTAATTGCTATAGAGTGAGTATCACTAACCATGATGAAGTACTAAGACTATTTTCACAGCTGTAAGAAGTTGCCTCATAAATCCTAGCTTTATTTTTTACCTCATTAAATAAATTTAAGAGACACATGGACTTTGGATCTGGATCCAGAGAGTAGACTATTTAGATGAAAGGTCATTGGACCTTAAAGGAGAAATCTTCTGACCTTAGGAGAAAAGAGTGAGCCAAAATAACATTGTAGCTTTTCACTGGAGATCAAACTCAAAAGATGTGATTTTAGTTCAGTAACTATAATTGATATACCTCCATAATACCAATGAGTCACTGTTATAAAAGAAATTTAATGAGTACTACTCTGATCGTTGCACAACTAAACACAGTAGAAAAGTAGAGCACCAACTCAGTCTCTACATGCATGCCACATAGCACATGGACACACACCCACACACATGCACACAAACAAAACAATGAATACTTTTTGTTTTTTTTTAATAGAATCTACAATAGAGGCAGAACCTCTTTAAGCACACAGGAGAAGCCAGATGCTATCTACAAGCTCCAAACATAGCTCTCCAAATTCACTGTCCTGTTGTGAGCCCTCACCATCTTTAGTAAGTCACTACCAGGTGGGGAAACCATTCTTCTCAGTTGGTTGTGCTTGTTTACAATCTCTTCTTGGACTGACACTCTAGTGGTTGTCAAATCCTCAAACTTCATATTCTGAATGGAAATAAAAGTCATGTTAGTGTATGTTAAGGTTGCATATAAAGTGAATAAGTTGTCTAAGATGAATGAAAGTCATTTTTAAAGTACTCGGGCCAATGTTAGTCATTAAGCCTTGATAATAAATTTAAGAAAATCTATGACTTTTCATGAGAAACACTTTACATATAAATTTTGAAAATAAAATGAATTTATGGCATATCAAATAAAAACTCTTCTGAGGCTACAAATGTCAATTTTGATTTAAGAGAGATCTATAATATTAGCCATGCAAAATAGAGAACCTTAAGTCATTCACACTCAGTTAGGCTGTAGCAAGGAAGTGCTAAGGATGAAGAAATATAATTTATGATAGATCTTAAGAGGCAATAGCCATCTGACCAGGAGTTTGAAAGCTTGTGAGATAACGTGTAGGCCCTTAGCCAATACATGTGTGCATTAGAGAATTTTATATGTAACAGGGATTTGTGATCACTCCGAAGACAGCTTTATCTAATAGAACATCCAAGTCAATTTGGAGACAATGGGTTCTTGAAAATAGTTTGGCAATACTGACTTTACATTTCACTGGACAGCAATAAGCCTGCTAAGATAACTCAGATGCTGATATTTAAATTTACCTTTTTCATTTGTGTGGCACAGGTGGATGGAGTGATATTATGTGAATTGGCAGAGATATAAGAGCCACTTGCTGATAAAAACATACTCCAAAATGTGCTGTTTTATAGTGTAGAGCAAGATGTTACAGCATAACTATTCATGGACTGACTCTCACATTCATATCTTAGTGCTGGGATCAGTTGTTTCTACTTTCTACAGTCTTACTTCCCTCAAGATTTTACAGATCCTGCACCCATAGATCAAATCACACTGCATTGCCAGGGGCTGCAACATGTCCATCTCTCCCTAATGTATTATGTTCTGAAGGCACTATGAAAGCCTTGTGCGAAGAAATCTCTCACAGCTAGTGGTTTCTAAGGCAGAAAGGATGTACATATTAAAGTCATTGCTTGAAAATCCTCACATTTTATTTTAATATAAAGTAGCAATATCCCCAGATGTTTATTTATTAAGGGAATGGCATCATTTTCTAAAACATTTATACTTAAGTGTATATGTTTGAGTAGAATATGGGTTTGTGTAATGAGTGCAGTGCCAGTGGAAGCCTTAA